AACATTGTGCCACGTGCAATCGAAGCCATCCAGTTGTGAACAACATCTTCGTCCGATGACTCCTCTTCGTTCGAATTATCATCCGCATCAACTGTACTACTATCCGCATACGGCAATGAACTAATAGAAAATGCTAGCGCACTATCGTCAGCATAAATCTCAAATTGACTCGGTAGGTTGAGAAGATCTTCTCCGATAGACATTATATATTTCGATGGTTGTAGACTAAAGCTTGGTATCTCTAGATTAAATGCCGAACGTCGATTGTCTTCTGAATTACTATTCCATATGCTCATCGTAGGAAGACCAGCTAGATGCTTAACTATAGGTAGGTATATAGTATCAAATACAAATAATTGGCATTGTTTAGTGAAACTAGTCAGGGAGTTCACAGACAATTCAAATAATTGTTTCGATTCAATACACGTCAATAGCTGATTTAGTAAGTAGCTATTGAGCGGAGATTGTCTTAACAACATTAGCGAAGTTCGAGTGCCAGAGAATCCATCCAATGTAACAGAACGACGGTCATACCACTCTAAATCTGCGTTTAACCCATTGTCTTCGATCAATGCTCTCGTCCCATTGAGTGTTTCCTTTACCTTACTCTCAAAATTAGCAAGCCGCTCAGACATCTGCCGACAGATGCCCAACAGCCGCAATCCTAGTTGAAAATTAGACCAGTCATCCGTTTCTAATTTTTCCTGATCGAAATCATAAGTATTCTCATTTCTGTTGGAAGGTAAAGTACTATACTGTTGATCATGTTGCCTATTGGCATTCAATCCACATTCCACTCTCAATCGCTTTAATAGGTTATTATATTCCATGAATACCGCCTCAAAAAAATAATTGACAGCATCGATTAAACCAACTCCGCCAAATCCATGGGTAAGAGCCATACACCGAGATAAACTACCCTCTACCAGAGAGAACACTTTTCCAACACTGTCTGCAATCGCGCGCGTCGTGTCCACGCTAACACCCTTTTCTGCGTGTAAATTCTCTCTGAACACCTGGGACAAATACGTCTTCTCGTATTCAGCATAGTCGTGTTGATAATCAGAGAACGGTTCAAATATTACGTGACCCCATTTAATCAGATCGTTTCTCGAATGCCTCTTCGTGGCGGTGATAGAATGTGTTCCGGCATCAACACGAACAGACTTGAACAATACACTTTCAAATTGATGACCGAAATTCTCACATACAGTAAACGCATTAATAATCTCAGATAAACATTTTTCGTTGTACCGTTCTACCAATCCAGCAAGACGAGCAGCAAGAGATGGTTTTAACGAACTAAAAATAATTTCGATAAGAGCGCATAAAACTTCATCTGCATCGGGAAACACGTTGCCACACCATGTGTGCTCTTCGTTCAAAACAATGAAGCATTCGTCAAAAAATTCCCGGAGAAACTCAACAAACTTTCTCCTCGACTCCGGGCCTGCTGATTCTTCTGCTATGGTTTGCGTATCCTCCAAAATAGGTGTATTCTGCCACAACTGTATGAGAGACGATTTTCGAGCGCCGTAATAGTAATTGCAAAAGTCCTTTTTACGACCGATCTGACTGAATATCAAATAGAATTTCTGACATGCTGCCAAATCATGTTGATTAAGAGCAGCCACTAACTGCGGACTAACTGTGGCCTCCAACTGATTCTGTAATTCTGTCAATAACTTACGGCGCTCTTCATATTCTGGTGTATTACGAAATATGATTAAGCTCTTCTCAGCCTCGGCCAAACGCGCACTTGCTTTCTGATAATCTTGAGAAGCGAATATAGTGCCTGCTTCCGCCTCGAGATTGTTCCAACTCTCAGCTTCCCTTAACATTGCACGCGATGCTTCCATACGATTCTTGATTAAATCTATATATTTGAGATGCTCCAATGCCTCACCGGTATTGCCCTCTACTGTCTCGAGATCCTTTTTTACAGCTGCATCTCTCGCTTTTAGGTCAATTATGTCATTTTTAATAACTTGCAGAAATGCCAAGGTTTGTGGCATGTTCTTGACAGCGTCTTCTACCGTTCTCTCCAGTCTACTAGATACTTCCTGGTTTAAGAAATGCAATTTGTCTAATAATACAGAAACATGATTCTCTAGCGCATTTAGTTGCGAAGTGTCAATTATCCATTTGCGATCTTTAATGCTCTTTATCTTAGAACGGGCAGACTGCTTGTTTGCATCTATGCTAACGTTCCGAGAATGTTCTTTTGGTGGGTATATAATTGTGTCTCCGACACCTGTCAAAGCCTTATTGATCCAAGCTTTTACATTAAAGTCATCTTGAAGGAAATCAGAAAAATCGATAGAAATTTTATTAGGCACAGGTGATGTGGTTGTCGTTATTACAGAAATATCAGGCTTCTTTGCAGTCGGAAATGATGACATTTGCGTGCGTATATGCAGACTCTACAAGTGATGAGCATTTAACAGAATTTCAGAGTTTCACAACAGCCTGTGATCATCGTATAATGCAAGCATGAGTTTCCATATTACGAATTGTGACGAAAAAAGTTCTTTTATAACGCAATTCCATTGTAACGAGATCCATTATAACGAGCTTTGACTATCGGGTTAATATGATCAAGTACGTTAAAATTGAGATCCCGATTAATAATATCGCTCATCTTGCATGTCACTGGTTAATGGATAATGCGTACAGTTAAGTGAATTGCTTACAATCTCCCAATTGCGTTGGGGACATCAAATACATTAGGATGTTGAATAAAGAAAGCGATTTAAATCTACTGTTTCGAGCTGGTTGCAAAACAAAGCCGACGCAACATAATAATAACAGAAACCATGCTGGCATTCTACTGATTTAATTTTTTATTATTATTATTATGTATTGCTTATACAATCGTTCTTAATATGGTCCCCGAGTAATCGGTTTCCTAACATATATATAATGCTATATGTATCCATAAAATATTGTATGTTTCCTTGTCTATTATACATATCATGCTACATTAAATATTAAGCATGAAAATTTTTCCCAGCAGTAGTTGCCTTGACAACACCTATCCTGATAACAAAATCACCAAACTTCTCTCCGTCTTCCCTCTCTTTAACGTATCTGGTTAGAATGGGTTTCAACTCCTTCAAAATTTCACTTTCCTTCAAACTCTCTTTGTATAACTTGTTAAGTCTCTGTCCGTGATGTCCGCCCCCCAGATATACGTTGTACGTTCCAGGTGCTTTACCTACGAATGCAATCTCAGCAACATATGGGCGCGCACATCCATTAGGACATCCCGTCATCCTAATAGTAATCGCATCTTTACCCAGTCCAACATCCTCAACGATCGACTCGATCTTCTCAACAAGTGTCGGTAAATATCTCTCAGCTTCGGCCATAGCAAGACCACATGTTGGTAAAGCCACGCAAGACATCGAATTCAATCGTATACCCGTATATTGAAGATTATCCAGTTTATACTCCTTCAACAGACCTTCGATCTGTGGCTTGGCTACCGGTGAAATATTGCCCAAGACTAGATGCTGATTCGGAGTCAGTCTGAAATCGCACTTGTGGACTTTTGCAATCTCACGCAAGCCTGTCTTGCACGGGGCTCCGGGCTCATCTCTAACACGTCCGTTCTCGATATACATGCAGAAATTCCAATTATCATTGGCTCCCTTGGTCCATCCATATCTGTCTGCGTTACTGTCGAAAATAAACTCTCGAGGTGGTTGCAGTTTGTAACCTAACCTATTTTCGACCTCCTCACGGAACCATTCCAAACTGCGATCATCAATTGTATACTTCAGACGTGCGTGCTTACGGTTAATCCGATCACCAAAATCACGCTGGACGAGCATGACTTTCTCTCCAACATCAATTGCTTGCTCGGGTGTGCAGAAACATAAAGGTTCAGCCAGTCTTGGATAGGTTTTCTTGTTGTTATGCGTCATACCCATACCACCTCCAACTGTCACCGTATATCCAGCTAATTTGCCATTTTTATCAGCAATAGCGATGTAACCCAAGTCGTGAGCAAATACGTCCACGTCATTACTAGGTGGAACTGCGATTGCAATTTTGAATTTTCGGGGAAGATACGTTGGACCGTACAAAGGTTCATAATCTTGCACCGCGTTCCCAGCAACAACCTTATCCTCGAGCCATATCTCATGATATGCGGTTGTACGCGGTGAAAGGTGATCACTTATTTTACGTGCAAAGTCATTAACCTCTGCATGCAACTGGGATAACTGTGGATTGGGATTACACATAACATTACGATTAACATCACCGCAAGCAGCCAATGTATCCAATAAGCACTTATTGATGTCACGTATGGTATTTCTGAGATTACGTTTGATGACTCCGTGGAGTTGATAAGCTTGACGAGTAGTGATTTTCAAAGTACCGTTCGCATGCTTATCAGCAATCTCATCCATGGCAAGCCACTGTTCAGGAGTGGAAACGCCTCCCGGAACACGAACACGCACCATAAACATGTACGCCTTTTCTAATCCCTGCGCCTTTCTCTCATCTCTAAGATCGCGATCATCCTGTTGGTATATTCCATGGAACTTGGTCAATTTGGTATCCTGTTCTGCCAACGCGCCGGTCGATGTATCTTCAAGACCCTCGAGAATTGTCCCCCTCAAGTAGTTGGACTTTATTTTCAAATCATCATCTGACTTCTTTGGTTCTTCTACAACTGTTCCAAGCAATTCAACCCCGAGTGCTTTCCAGAGTTCAGGTTCCCACGCTTGAAAAGCAGTTTCATAACCATCAGGATCTTGATCATCCCCCAATCCTACCGGGACGAGTCTATTTCCGCCGAGAAGTTCCAAACGATTATCGACATCTTTGCCGGGTTTGTTGTAGTATATGGCATCTTCTGCACGTGGCCAGTAGTGACTGTCACCCAGAGCAAATACCGCGTAGCTTGTTTCACCAAGAGATATATCAGTGGTGGACGAAATATGTTTCCAAAATTCGCGCGCGTTCTGTGGAAATTCGCCTTGTCCTGCCGTGCTAGTTACAACTACGACATTCTTCTCGGTAGATAATTCCTCAATAGGGTAGTCATCCATTGCCATACAACGAGCATTAACACCACGTGCTTTGGCGCCTTTCTGTAATCTTCTGGCAAGACCCTCTGCATTACCATTGTCGGATCCATACAATATCACTAATGGAGGACCAGTAAGCCCGCCAAGTAATTTATCATAGGCAGACTTTGCTAATGTTCGCTGACGATTGGCAACGTCCGACTCTAGAGAGGACGCTAACGTTGCTGCTAGTTCGGGCCGTGACTTCACCAACTGCGTCAAATAATTTTCACGATCTAAAAATGACTTTAGTTCCTGTTTGATGCGTTCAGAATCGAGTGTAAATGGTTCTTTGCCTTGTGCTTCTAATGCAGGATTCCATCTATAAAGCGGCCAGTAGCCAGTGTCTACGGCGAGTTTCGTTTCTTTTAACACTGTTATTGAAGAATCATTTTCATCATGATACGGTAGATATGCCAGAACAATAGAAGGACCATCGAAATCTTCTGCTTCCATCAACGCGTGTAGTACTTGCGTATATGAGGAATAGACAGCAACGGATGCAACATAAACGTTTCCATAATTCATCGCGTATAAGCCAATGTCCTTTTTACGCTTTTCCGGATCAGCGGCGGTACGGGAGGTGTATGGTTGTGAGTCGATAATAAGCATATTGATATTCTTTCCAGAGGAGATAACATGATGAACACCTGAATTTCCGATATCATACGACCAAGCGTCTGATCCTACAAGCCAGTTGGCTGGCTTAACAAATTGGTCTCGACGATTGTATATGTCTCCTAGTAAAGCATTTTTTTTGTACAGACTTAACAGTAATTCAATAGAAGCATCACCATGTTTCTTTGCTAAATTAGCATTGTTCTTGTGCGTTAGCCATTGAGTCAAGGCAACGTGGAGCGGCTCTGGCATAGGTATTGACGTACTTTTTACGGCGCGCGATACAAGATCAAATAATTCTGCGCGACGTTGCAATCTACTCAACAATACACCAAAGCCAAATTCTGGCGTGGATTTCACTTCACCAAGATGTCCCACTGTCAGTTGCGTCATTGCATTAGCTATGTACAGACGGCTGCCAAATACTTCCTCAAGCATTTTGAGATAAGCTAGTTCTAGTGCGGGTGGTGAATGGATTGAATGACCGTTGGTAGCTTGCGTGCTTAATTCAGATGTTTCTTTGCCAATAGTGACAACTTTTGAAGCAGTAGCCGAAGACAAACTTCCGATAAAATTTTCTATCGAATTGACAGATGTATGTGCATCCAAACTACCGTATTGTGCGCTAATAACGGTAGGTATGCTATGTTTCCATAGATCCTGATTCTCAAAGGCTGATACGACATCCAGATACAATGGAGACCATTTTGTAGTACGCTTCGATACTTGCTCTACAACAGCAACCTTCTTGGTATTCCGCGGTATTTCTGTCAAAAATGTCTTATCTGACCACGGACGATAAAGCTTAATGTTAAATAGGGCAATCTTCAACTCGGGCTGATGTTTCAATGCCTGCCGTAGAAGTCTCACTCCGGAACCCAAGGACACAATTATCGTCTCTGCGTTTTTATTACCCGAGCATTCCACGCGTTTGTGCAATCTACCGGTTCTCTCCTTAAATTGTGTGAAAATCTGTTCGGCAAGTTCAGAAAAATCTGTGGCATTAGGTTGTTCTTGGCCATTAGTACCTCCGATCGTTTTGAGATATAATTCAACGTTCTGCCCGTCATTCGAATCCGCGCGGTATTTATCAATACCAGCCTCCTCAACAAATTTTGCAATTACTTCTTTCGAAAAGCTTTCGACCTTGTCGTCGCTTACCCTCAAGGTAGCAGCATCAAAAAAGTGTACGACAGGGATTCCGCTCCTTATTGCTAATCCGTGTGCAATTAATGCAGTATCTGCAGAGTCCTGTCCACCATTTGATGTTATCAACGCACAACCAGTCTGTCTGACAGCCATGATGTGAGTATAGTCTCCGAGATCATTGGCGCTGTTGCGTTCGACAACCGCATGGATAACGACAGCCGATTTGCCATTGGCTAGTTTGTATAAATGCGGAATAGCAGAGAGTAAGTATTTTGCAGGGGTGATTATCGATACGAGTGACCCTTTTGCAACGCTCGAGAGTACTTTCGCAAAGGGATCGTTTTTGGATGAAAGTATTTCAAATTCCGTTATTTCATCAAAGACATTCTTCTTTTTGCGCTGATATAATTCTGTAATTTCAGACGTATAGGATGAAACTGATTTAGCGTTTCGTTCGACAGTATAGGTAACTTTACTAGCTGCGTATGCTATTCGAGCAGCAGCGACTTCCGCGGAAACCATTTTGGCGTTGAGAAAAAAGTAGAAATCGTGATCATTTTATCAGTTTTTTTTTTTGAAATTTTTTGTGATCTAAATCTTTTTAGTCACAAGCATGGAGTGGGGTTCGAAAATCTAAACCGGGAAATTGAAAGTGTTGATCAATTCTGTCGGATGCTATTTACGTTAAGCGTTAACATTAAGACATCGATGGTATGTTTCTCGTATAGGCAATTTGACAACGTGCGCCTATACGGCTCGATTAGCCGTAATATTATCATATGCTACCGGTTAGCCGAATGTCAATATTATGGCCTTAATCAGAAAGTTGCCCGACAAGCCGTACAATTCTGTACGTTTTAATTAGCTGTACTACCAATCGGGCGGGGCAAGTACTTGTGCTTGCTTACTAATGGTCTTCTGTGCGAGATCATGATTGATTATCTACGCTTTCAGTCTAACCTCATAGAAGTTTGAAATAGCAACAGCGAGCGAAATTTGTTAATAATCAACCCGTGTCTATTTTGTTTGTTAATACGGAAGAATGTATAATCATTCTCTTTCACACGTAGCAGTATAGAGCGCGGATACACACACTATAAAATACTAATCCGACAAAATCTTAGTCAGCCATGTTCCCGATTGGACTTTGACTGTTTCTTTTGCTGTTTTCAATTGATTACTGAATTGTGTGACTTTTAATACTAATTCGAATCTTATTACCACCATTTTCTTAACCTTAGCTTTGAAAGCCGTTTGGCGCATCATAACAATGTTACGTGATCAATTTTACGAACGTTTGACACCAACAAAATTACTCGATAGCTATTTCTTGCTATCATCACCCCAAACGCAAAGCCATGAGAATGATATTGTATGGGTTTATAATGATACGTATCGTATGTGTAATCATTTGATTTTATTCTATTCATTACAAGTCTCAGAAATGTATACTGAATTTCCAATACACTCAAGATACCCGATTACACAATTATAACACGTCTTCCCTGGTACCTTTGTAAATAACGAAATTACGCGATTGTAAGTTTAGTTCATTGAAACTGTTTCTGCTTATCGATTTCAACTGTATTACTAACTAGTGAAATAATGTAACTGTCGGCATCCAGCGTCATGTGCCATACTAGACAATATAATTAGGATAAATTTTATTCACTATTGCTTACTACAGTACTTTAATTTTTCTCAAGTCAAAAATCGGTTGTCTGTTTTAATTAATGCTGATGCATGGTTATACTGGCTTCAGTTCATGTTTGGTAAAGTTACGAAAGCGTAAGGCATTTATTTTGTCTCGCCTCATTTTTTTTCTTACGCTGCTGTTTGAAGAGTTATTTAATACAATGTACAATTATAGAAAGATTGCAATACACTCTAAAGTCCATTAAAATAACAAGGCTTGATCTTTGATGCAGTAATATAGTGTGTGAAATACTGTTTGCTGTGAGCGAAACTTTCTACTTTAAAAGCTTACGAACTTATTATTTTATTTCGGTCATACTAATAAAAACATAATAAATAACATTTACCTTTCTCTGTAGCGTACGCTGTTTACGGTAAGCAGACAAATAATGATCTCAATTCACTTGGCTTGAACAGAATTGAGTTGATTTGAGGCATACAAAACCAGTATAGTGTAAATTCACTGATGTGCATTAGAGAGAGTGGAAAGCAGATGGTATGAAATGGAAAAACTGTGCATTGCAAATATGAAGAGTGTGCTTTTAGAGAGAATATGGTATATAGATTAACCGTAGATTTATCCCGCCTCATCAGATAGAAGTAAACATTTTGGAATAATAAAACTTTTACTAAAACCATGTGTTCAAATGTTACTTATACAGTAAACCTCCATAAATGCTACGTTGCATTTATGAGCGGTTTTTGCATTTATTGCTATGAAAGTTTTTAATAAGAAACAATTTACATCTCTGTATCATAATAATAACAGTTATTTCAATAGGCATTTTTTCTTATAATTTTAGCTTAAATTTTTCTGGAGTTTAAAATGTTAATTTTAACGAAGGAGGTTTAAAAATAGTGTAGTAATAGTGTTTTAGTAATTTGTGTAATAAAGAAAATTGTTTAATTTAGGAAACTATTAAAATGAGAAAAGTGAGAATGTTAGCAATTAGAATTCTGTTCCATACAATAAATCTACAAAATACTTTAATGTTATTCTGCTTCATATGCGTAGTTGTTACAACACGTAACTCCCATTTTCCAACCGGATAGCATGCTACTATTTTTTTTCCTATCATAACACGTAGCAGTAACTTTATCGTATTAATGACCCAACAATGTACAAAAATACAATATGAAGGGTCTGATGTGATAGCAGATTTGTTGTTTATCTGACATTTAAGGCTATAACTAAAAATTTTGATTTTTGCAGATAAAAACTTTCTTTCTCAAACTAGAATTTAGCTGGTAAGTTTACCATCATGCAATAATTTCCGTAAATCGTATATTGGCCCTGAGCAAAATAGAAATTCTGTAATACGTTAATACATCGAACTATGTTTATTTGCACCGCTAATTAGAGAGAAACTGTTAATCAAGGAAAGATTACATTAAAAAAAGGAATATAATTATATTTAATCTGAAAGTCCAGAAATTATGTTTATATGCAAAACTTTAAAGACACGTGAAAGGATGTAATTTACATAAATTTTTAAAATTCATGTGTTCTACACGTTAACATCCTCTGATCTTATGCGACTCTGGGTATTTTGACTGACTCCGTATCAGACCTCTTTTCTCCAAACTTTCCAGTAATGGCTAAAAGAGCGCCACATTGGCTTTTGTGGCGGCTGTGGCATAGTTATTTGTGTTTTGCGTGAGCCATATTTCTGACTACCAGAGCATTATATCTATATCGAGCGATTAGTCAATGTTTTGGCATGGGCATGGGAAAATTCGTTACCCGGACTAGTAACCACAAACATAAGATTGATATTCCGGTTAAGGCGTTTTTATTATTGAACCGAATCAAGATAATCTCAGCTTTCATCTTTTGCAAACTAACTGAAAGCACGTGATCAAATATAAGCCGCAGACTAGAAAAAACCTTGTTATCAATAGTGCAAAATAACTTGTACAGCAATTAAATCATGTATTGCGACGTTGTCCAATTGTTAAGACTAATATTCATTGCTTGTAAACCATTGAATACTTACAAGCTTAATAACAAAAACAATCAAATGCATCCACGGACTTTTGTAACATTTCTTCCACGTACGAATACCATCGGGATGTTACATCACACAGAGAATGCAATCGAATGTTTCTATAACTACACCCCTGCTCAGATGATTTTGACTCAAACCCCCTGAAATATTCGATGGCGTTTTGGTAAAAATTGTCGACGAATCATCTGATGACAGGTGACGTTACAGTAATAATGAATTTGTGTTCACCACGTACATCGTTTCTCCAACCTTCTTCCCCACACAAAAAGCCTGGGAAGGAAATAGAAACTGTTGTAACGTCTGGATTTTGACTTTCACTACTTGTTCTCGGTAGGCGGTTGTCTTACAATCTTGTAGGAGTATATATATACGGACATTATTCAGAATGCCTCCGTCCCCTAAACAACCTCTTGGACTTCGTATTAAGGAACTAGTTCAGGTAAGAGGTGTGCGACAAAAGACTTAAATGTTAGATTAGTAAAAGCTGGTAGAGTAGTCTGAGTATGTGTACGTGCATTAGTGTATTGAGTGTACACTGGAGAGCTACACTTATATCTCGAAATATTTCACTAACGTTGAATAAACTGTATTTTTAAAGCATTTCCAATTTTTCTGGTGGATAGGACATTGTACGGTTGTAATTAGTACAGTTGCTTATTTCGTCAACTTTGTTCTATGGCGCTCTGAGGAGGCAGCGTGGTGGTATTATTGGGCTTATCGGGGCGCGATATTAAGTTATGGGATTGTTGTCTACAAGTCATATGGGGTGAGTTCTCGATTTATTAAGGCTACCATCTTTTATGATATTAATATACTGTTATAGATCTTGGAATAATATGTAATGAGAATGGAACAGATCTCAGATTGTAACTGATCGGACATCTAGTTAAATTCTTTAGCTCCCCGAATTTACCAATCGACATAATATTTTCTGACTTGTTCGATATTGATCTTTTTTTTTACTAGCTTCCTTCTTGGGATTGGGATTACATTAGGAGTATCAATCGGGATGAGAATATATTCTATCTTGCATTGGCTCTAGTATGGCATTCTTATCCACCAATTATAGGTAATGTATTGGATGATGCTGCTTATGCTATATTTTGTTACATCCTTGTTGATTGCGTCTTTGGTTTTTTATCTGCATGTTTCTTACTCGTATACATCCTTGTCTCTCTCTCTCTCTTTCTCTCTATATTTCTTTCTTTCTTTCTTTCTTACAGCTACTCTTATACCGAATGCCACATTCTCCCTATTTCACTTTCTTACATATCTCCGCACCAATGTCATCCCCACATTCGCACCACAAGCTGCATCAGGCCCTCGAGCTGGGACTAAGCCTGCTTTAAGTGGTCTCTCAAAGTCAATCCAGACTTGGGTCAATACTTACTACGAGGGGGCCATGCGAATAGTGAGCTTCACTGAAGTGGTTGTTATTACAGCATCATTGATTTGGAATATAATTCTGTAAGCATTCGTAATTGATCATTTAAAAAATCTATTCTTTGTTTATTTGAAACTTGGATTGACAAACTTTTAATTTATACAGGCTCCAAGTGCCGTTATACACGCTTCTTATCTACGGCTTCTTTTTGCGAATCAGATATCATATGAATCAATACACTAAACGTACATTCTCTGATCTTGGGCAGAGGTTTGACACTTGGCTGCTGCCTCCTTCGGCAGATCCGAGAATTCCGCCATATGTAACAAAAGCATATCGACATGCAAAGACGGCAGTTGCGTGGTTCGGACAGGTACACCCCGTGCGACGATAAGTTGCAAGGGTGATTGAAGCGAATCGTACCAATTCTAGTGTTCTGAGGTTGCATCACACAATTTGTATGCTACTCTCTTGTAATTTCCTTCAACTATATAAATATGAATATATCGAGACGTATGAACTGGTCTTTAGTATTCTTTTCAGTTGATAATTATAGCATCCAAGTTATTTCGCTATTGAAGCTGAATTAATTTGTTGTATGGTCAACCAAAATCAATTTAGAGAATTTTTTTTTTCCTTTTCAAATGACCTGTATTTGATAACATGTCATACAAGAATGGCTTGAGGAATAATTAAATTCGCACGCTTCTAATGAGGCTTTTAGCGGAAGGGGCTTTATAACGTCATAGTTATCAATAACTAACATTTGGTTACCTACAACAGACGTTACGAATTTGGGTAAGGAGTTGACAATCTATCTATGCACGAAATAGGTTGAGCCCATTTTCATGCAGGTCGATTCCCTGTTGGCAAATAGACGGGGTCTAATCATCAACTTGGCTAGTTTTTTTTTCAACAGAATTGAATGAACGTTAAACATGTCATTCAATTTTCTTTCACTTAACAGTCACCGCTCGTGTAGTTTCTGATATTTAATCCTAATTACATTTCGATTAAAACCAATTTGGGTGGCAATTATAAGGCTGGGGCTTTATTATGCAGAATGCTGCGTCAGTAATATAATCCACAAACGAAAGTAGACTTTTTGATTGGATATTCGTTGTCTCTGACTATCCTTCATTGTCGTCATGACGATACTGAATTTGGCTCAAGAATATGCGTATATTATGACACTGTTATTCTCATACTCCTATATGGCGGAAACAATATCCAATGATCTGACACCCCATTTTGTCGTGCTTATAGAGCCGCTAACCTTTTACATAGTGTGTACCCACGACTGCTGCAGAAAGCATTGAATGAAGGACATTTCCAGCCCGCTCAATATTAATATTAAGGGCTGAGCATTGTTAAAGCACACGTGACACAATTAGTAATATAAACTGATGGTGCATGAGATGATGGTACGGGTAGCTTTTAATTGACCAAGTCTTTACGCGCGTTATCTCTTTTGAAGTCGCAATGTTGTCAAAAAAAAAAAAATACGTTCAGCACATAAGCTATGGACGCGTTCAAATGTCTGATGCAGAATATCTATGCCATTTGAATGCCAAATCCTAGCTGCATATCTCGCATTCTGCATTCTCAACTATGATTGGAGATAAAATGAATCTCTTATGTTGCTGCCATTTACCTATGTCTAAAACGAACTGATAAACACATGACTGAATATGTGATAATATGCAACCGACTTTTTGCATTCGGGGACCCACTAAATGTGGGGTTAAAAAATCTGGGGAGGGATCGATACTTATGATCCCCGATTTTGTTGTGGCGGTATTTTACTATGTCATATTTAGTTTTATGCCAATTTATGCCTTCCCTACAATGTCCAACACTCCGGGCACTCCCGGGTATGCAGGCACATCTTCCTTCCCTGCAACGCCAGGATCACCAGGAACTTCGGCTGCTCAGATTACGTCTTCGCAATCTCTAGCAAACACGCTAAAGACTAATTTTACAAACATACTTAACGACTATGAGTCTCTTACATCCCAACTGTTTGCTTCCATTGTCGAAACGGCAGAAGGGAGAAAAGCTGAGCGCGCACCCGTGAGCCTTATGAAAGAGATTGTGGATTTAGATAAAAAATTACAAGATGGAGTAAGCCAAAGTAGGTCCACATGAGTATCAATGAGAAGATTTTGCTTGCAATTGGAATACCCGGCAGGAACACATAAATGACTTTTGTCGCGTTTTTCTTCATTGTGTTGGAAGTTGAAGAACACCAATACTATCACAGGAAAATATTGCAAGTTCAACAAGAGATAGATGAGGAAAATGCCGCTATCATGGAATTAGTTGAGCAGTTACACCAGGGGCGAGAGCAGCTTGAAACCTTGTTGGACGACGCGCGTGTCTCTATGAAGGCAATGAAATTGGCTAGTGATTGTAAGTATTGTCGGTTGGTTGTTATGAATAGATTATGAATAGACTATGCGTTTAAGGTTAATCAAACTGGTTCTTTGTTACCATCACTTGTAGCTCCCACGAACATAGCGGATTTATTGGCATATGCTTATAAAGTTAGCACGTATACATCAGCACCAGCCAACTCTGGTTTAAATATTCCGCTCCAGCCACCTTACCCAACTGAACAGCGTATGCGGAGAAGTCTGCTCTTTCGTCAATACAGTAGTGAGATCGGTGCTACGATCATAGGTAATGTTTGATGTAATGTGATGTAGTTTTGCAATACTTGGATTTCCTTGGTTCACTTTACTTATGATTATATCGTTAATGTAGAGTCAAAGACAAATCCAAATAAAGAGGCCTTTGAAGAAGAGTCAGAAGAGATTGACGCTAGCGCTGATCATCAGGCAAAGATATCCGCACACGCAGACATTGATAATAGCATCGAACAGGGTGATAATACGGAGAAAATGATGGACCTCAGTCTGAATCCCGAATTTGAATAGGAGCAGGGAAGGGTTAATTGTACCCGTGTACACTTTTACATATGGCGGTCATGAAATCTTGTTTACAACGTTTCCTTTCAATAAATAGAATATATGTATATTCAACAACAGAATGCAAAATTGTAAATCCTTCAAGTACGAAAATCCGGTGTTTATGAACAAATTCTAGCTATTAGGGAAAACTGTTTCAAAAGCCCTCATTTGCCTGACGTCTAAATCTACTAAAATATATCCAACAGATGCCTCCCTCAATTAATCATAATTTGGGTAAAATAAGAGAGAATTAAGACAGCATAAAAATACAAATGATGACAGATTACCTCTATTGGTTCTGATTAGTCTCGGCAAATGTTATCGTTTGACGTAACATGTCATTTCTATCGTTAATTGTATTTCGAAAGCATTAATAAAGGACATGCAATCAACTTTAAACCTAAACGCACGCAAAAACAATAACTGTCGTTTTACCGTCGTTTGAAATCATAAAGCAGTTCGTCTAGTCCGTAAATATTAGAAACTTGATCCATTTCATCTGCGTTTCCGGAACGATGTTGCATTGACTGCGGCGGACTTTTAATTATTGGCCTTACATCAGATCACAGATTCTCGTAATAATCTCTCACCATATTCGATGCTTAATGAGCCCAAGAAACTTACTCTGTAACATTGCTAGCAGTAAGCCCTTCAATAGTCAACATTAAGCTCGCTGCCGACTCTCTACTGGGTGCTCCCAACTGCGGAGTGGAGCTAATCTTACACCCAGTCACCTGAAATCTATGACTATATGAGTGAACGTCTGCAACAGCATCCCCATCCTCTGTGATATCAACAACAACACAATGATCCTTAGGCACTCCCATGGGAAAGGGTTCTTCCTCAAAAACGTAATGAACAATGGGATGTTTCCATGATTGCTGCAGTTGATCATGTAAAACGACGAACTGCGGAATGGGTGTTGGGAGGGATTGAGGAGGTTGTTGCATTTGAAGAAAGTAAAAAGATCGGCGAGTAGGAGATTTTCTGAAAATTTAAACCCACGTGCAAATTACCCGTGACCAGTATGTTTTGCGCGCGTTCTATTACACTGCGTATATTTCTACTGATAAAGCCCCCGTTGACGAATGACTTCCCCTACCCTAATACTAATAAACTATTACCTATAAGAGGTCTACCTAATACTAAAACGAATATAAACAGGATCGAGTCAAAATCTTTTGAATACACTTGTTATTGCCAGGCTTAATCCAAGTTATTATGTATCAGAGGTTCTCTTTAATGCAAACTAAATTGTTCAACAAGCCAAGCATGTAGTCTTTTGCTTCCCTCCATAAATTTAAGGCAACTATAAAAGAAATGAATCAAAACAAACAGTCAGATCAAACATCATTTAATTAATGATATCCAAAGAATGTTTATATTATCTGATTACAATTCCTTAAAACAACAGTTTGTGGATTGTCTTCACGTGGTTTATATTATATTTATTCTTCACATTACTCCACATCACATGAACGCGACATATCTATCTTTACAATATTAATGTTAACTCGAGGTTAAATAATAATTTAGGATCAGCGTCGAGGGCAAGAACTATTCAAAGGTTTCGTTGAGCACTTTTACGAAAGAAAGCGTAATAAAATTAGGGGGAGTTTGAGAGTTCTATGAATAACCGTAACATTTTTTGAGTAACAAAGGTGTTTTAACTCAATATTCAAACAGGAACCAATATACAAGTCTCTCAACGTCGCAGGTCACTGTATAATAATAAATTTAACATTAACTCCACCCGACAGTATCAATGACCAAGACTTTAGTAACGCCGATTTTTCTTTATTCTACGGTCAAAGAGGGTCTAACGAGAATATTAATATTGACAGGCGTCACAGAAAAGACGACTCGGCAACCCGAAATTAGCAATGGGTGGAATGTTGTTTTTTTTTTTCATCAAAATATTGCAAATTTGTATTCCGAAAGAATGAAGATTAAAATATAATACGCTTTCCACTGTAAAGCCAAAAGCGAGCAAGAGTAGAATATTAAAGAGAACTTATTTCCCATGGTACATTATCAACTGTCTTCTCTTTAAAAGACATAACACAATTCAGTTTGCTCAATTAATTCGGCATTGGCTAAAAACGTGACCAATCATTCTGAAATTTGCTTGCTTAACAGAGAATAAACGAAGCTCCTTATTTCGTATGCAACTTACAAACTTTATCGTTTTATGTACCATTTAGTTTTCACTCTTCAGAACAAGAAACGATAGTACATCCCACTTTGAACGTTTGCCTTCTTCTATTTTTGAAAATTACGCTATCAGCTTAATGTGAGAATATCCGTGTGTGTACATTTAATACATTACGAATTCACGCATTTGGCACGCTTTACTTTTTATTAAATTTGATTCACAATTGATATTAAATATACATGGCCAAAAATGTCAAATTAATGGTATCCCCAATTTCACAATAGAGATTGTGTACCTGAATTCTGCACAAACGATATTTTTACTTACACTTGGGCCCATTCTGTTGACATGTAAATCTATGCCATCTTCACCAGCTCTATCTTGTAAAAATTCAATATCATCATAGACAACCATCTCTATTCATCAACTGTTACGAGCGGGAGATTGTTTATGATACAAGAAGTGTCACTGCACAAACTCAGCCAAGTTGGCAAAACGATCAATCCATCGATTCCCTCCATTTTGATGACCTCTTCCATCTCGATTTCTCTCATTCCCATCTACCCTACCTTGTCCCCTTGCTCTATTGTTTTCTTGATTCCATCTCAATTGGCGAATATACACCAAGAACCCAACCAACAGGCACATTGCCAGAATCATCAAAGTCTCAACAACGTCCTCTTCTTGTTTCTTCTCTTCCGGATAATCATGGTCATCGTGTGATTCTGTGCTATATCCGGACTCATCATCCCCTTTGTTTCTCTTGTTATAATCTTTCAGCAATTTTTCTTCCTCACTATCCCAAACTCCTTCCCTCTGCTGTCCTTTTGGTCTATGTCGTACTTCGTTTAATATTTCAGAGTCATCAACGTCATCGGAATTAATTATAGAATTGTCTCCACCATTCAGGTAGTTCCAAATACGATGAGCGGATAGCTTCAACAACGATAACGTTACCGGAAGATAAGCTGCTGGGTTACTGGCTAGAGATCGATCATACCACCGTTTGGCAAGATCGAAATCCTGTTCAAAACAAAAGCAAAATACAATAAATAATAAACCAAAAACAAGCGAATATCGGAATCGAGGAAATTTATCCGAAAAATTAGAATATTTCACTTAAAAAAGACACGGGCTGAATGTCGAAAATGACTATCATTTTTTACGCCAACTATTCACCGATTTAGATATTAACGTTGCGGGTACATAAGTACTGGTGATAACGAGAAACCCATAAAATACTAGGCTCCAACCAACCAACCAACCAACCAACCAACCAACCAACCATCTTTCCCCCCAAACATTAAACATAAACTAATTAATACTCACCTGAGTCACCCCAATACCACTTTCATGTATCCACCCCAAGTTCCACATTGCTATTGCACTTTCTGATGATGCTTCATAATAACATTCTTTAGCCTTCTTATAATCAATATCAGTTCCGATGCCGTTAAAGTAATAATCTCCCCTCTTTACTTTTGCATCCAGATTGCCTTGTATTGCTGCACGAGTCCAATATATTAGTGCCAATTTCTCGCGCACGACATCGCCCGTAAATGAGGATCGAAACTTCCATTTTGCTTTATCTATGCAAATGCGAGTCACAAAATATTGACGTTATAAGAATGCGTTACGCCTCGCTCTCTCTTGTATTTACTTGAGCACACACTCTAAACATTCAACTAATTTATGTAAAACTCAATTATTCCTATTCTCCTCACTTAGAAAACCCTGTTCATCATATAACGAGATTAACCATTCCCTACCAGGATCTAATAACCAAGCAACATTTGCCTGAGCAATCTCGTAGCCTCTCTCTGCCGCCAACATGAAATAAAGAAGAGCTGTCTCTTCATCTCCTGCTTCATAGGCCTCAGTGGCAGCAGAAAAAGGTGAATGAAGCCAATCTCCTCGCTCGGCCACATTCTTATAAAGCTATATGAATATATATACATTAGTTAGTGTTATTCGAGAATCTATTAGACATCATATACTACAAAGATATCACATACAATAACCGCGCTTTCACATGACTTTGGTGCTCCGAGACCCTTTGCATACATCTGCCCTAAATGGTAATAGGCCAAGAAATGAGCATGCTCAGCCGCTTGTTCGAACCGTTTTTTTGCATTAGCTAAATCCTTGTTCCCTTAAAGAAAAATATAAAGACATAAATAAAATTTTGGACACAGCCTTTAAATATATCTTGCACGACTGTACGCACTTAAATGAAGAAGTCCTAAATAAACTTGTGCGTCTGCATCTGAATCATCATTTTCTGACGCCGCCGTAAGGAATTCCTTAGCTTTATCAAAATTCTGCGCAAGCACGTGTGTTAGAACAAACCCTTTCAAGTTTATATCACAAAAAAACTAACCTGTTCAACTAAAATTTCATCTTTATAACGAACGCCTTCCAAAAACATTATTCCAATACAGGCAAGAGAAGTTGAGTCGTGCTATTATGACAGAAGGTTTTGTCAGCATGTCATCGCAATAATGTATAAATTGAAGTCTCATGATACGGTTAGTCTTAATGTCTTTGTACAGTAAAAGTCACCATCGTTTCTTTCACTCATGGATCGATGATCATTTTCCATTCGAAACTATTAGATTTACTAACCTCTTTTGCACCCCTCCAGAACCAGAAAAGAGCCCTATTATTGTCCTGCGCTACTCCCTCACCGCGCCAGTATAAACGACCTAGGAGCCCAGCGGCCTTCGCAGCCTTCCGAATAACATCCGGTTTTGCTGGTAATTTTTCCTTTCCCTCATCGGACGGCCATACTCGTCGCGCAACTTTCAATAAATAGTTATGTGCGTTGGAAAAATCTTGTGGAATTTCACGGATTCCTGTATAGAACAATCGACCGAGCTGCAGCTAAATTGATGAATAATATTAACGTTACAGCAAACAGCAACATAATATCAAAACGCAATTACAGGGCGTATATCCATTAAAGAAATAGCGTAAGTTAAATACCTGTGCCTTGATATCATTATTATTAGCAAGATAGCGATAATAATCAAGAATATCATTCCAAGTTGCGGAATCTATTGGTTTGAGCTGAGGTCTCAACGAAGATCCACTTGCCCCTTCCCCGTAAACTCCGCCATCTTTATCAGAAAGGCGCAATTTAAGCGGAGGCAGTTGGCGACCTAGAGGAGGGCCCGATCGGTAGTATTCGACAGCTGGAAAGCGTACCATTAGAGGAAAGATGAAGTATATCATGTCCGTTGGTGTCAATATATCCATACGACAAATTCATACAACTGGTAACTGGTTTACCTTTATCAGCAACTCGCTCATAATAAAACAGCGAATCCTCGCAGTTAGGCGATACGCCTATCCCCGCGTAATACCGATATCCAAGAGTCATTTCAGCAGCAACGTCATGTCCCAGGGCAGCAAACGTATGATACACGAGTGCCTATTGATTTTATTATTAATAAAGGAGAACGCTTTCAAAATATCCGTACATTTGGTATAACTCACCTTTGCCTGATCTCTTTGGACAACACCGATACCCGTAGCATACATAAAGCCTACCATTTGCTGTGCTGTAGCATTTCCCGAACGATCAGCAAGTTGTTTGTAGTAATAAAAGGCTTGGTTCAGATTGCGAGGATGGCTATAATTGGAATACTTCGTACATAACGATAGCATGTTGGTCATAACAATATAAAAATAATTCTCACAATATGGCTATTATACGAGTACGATGTCTTACAAAGTTCATTTCTGCGAGAGTGAATAGGGAATCGTCATGGCCAAGTCCTAGTCCTGCTTCGCTTAGCAACTTGACGGCGGCAATTAGATGCGGATGCAACGGTTGATAAGGGAAAGATTTCTTAGGCCTCGAGTCGTCTGTAGTCTGACCACTCATTGAAAAGAGTGATAGCAATACCCTTACAACGACGCGTACTGGTAATGGAAGTAATGAGGATATAGAAATATCCGATTCGTCTTCGTTACTCTTTCGGGCATTTTCTTTGGAGGACGACTCAATGCTCTTAAGTATTTCCATTGCGTCTTTAAACAGTTCGTTGGCTAATAATTCAATCAAACAGATACAAGTCATGGTAAGTAGCTTGCAGAAACGGTTGATGAGATTAGAGCTCAGATAAAGACTTGACTATAAATTAGTCCTATTTATAGTGTCGAAGTTGACGTTCCTGGTTAAAATTATGGTAATTAATTCACAGAATCACTCGAGCTATCGGATGAGATGCTTACCTGATCGGTTGGTAGAACCTGTTGTGGCAACGCCTTTTTGCGTCGAGATTTGATTCGAAGATTTACCGGCATGCTGCAAAACGTGATAGTCTTTGACAGTTAACGTTGAATTTGTTTAAACAGGTTGATATCAACGGGTAGTTAAACTTCCACATAAAAAGAGCCATTAAGCGATGGTAATGTTTCAGCACGAAGGATCTTGATACTCACTGCAGTATCAACACTTGCCGTTTCGTGTGATCTGGAAGTAGGCGTTCTTGAGAGGTCATCGGTAGAGATTGTTGGAAGACAAAGGCTCGAGAAAATGCAAACTGTACAATAATGTGTTAAACGGTAAAAACAGGCTATTTTTCAGTTTGAAGCTCGAATTACAAAAGTTGAATACAATGCTCAAGAATTCGAACATACTGATCAGTAATAATTGTTGATATCGCATACTGGTTAGATAGTCAAGGCGTAAAGTCGGCGTGGCAATTATAATAAGGCATTGTCTATGGGAGTGAGCTGTGGATTTTGATCAAACTTCGAAAACTGAATTTATTTCTCCCAATCAAAATTTTCCAAGTAAGCTTTAATAATATTCACGTGATTATCAACAAATTCCCAGAAAACCGTAAGCAAGAAATGGGTTTAACGTTCGTTTTAAAAAATGGCTCAAAAAGCACTGAAAAAATCCAACAAGACTAATAATAGTAAGAATAAGACTAAAGATAAACAGCTTGGCTTAAGAAAAGGAGGTAAGAATATTGGGATGAACGTATGGTTAGATAAGCGATAAAAATTTGCCTGTTTGATTGATACATACTCTATGTTATAGCAAGAACAATAGCTCCGAAGAAACAGTCAGTAATAAAACAAAAAAACATGGAGAAGGTAGCGTACTTTTAAGAACAAAGTCTAGTTATGACGATACGTTGCTTTTGTTAATTCCATCACACATCCTATATAGAAAATAACGTTGGCAATAAATAAGAACATTGAACAAATAATGGTGTCAAGAGCAAGCGCCGTGGCTGGAGGGAGAAAGTTCAATATAGTCAAGGCAGCAGGATCTGACAATAGGAACAAGGGAGATCACAAGACAAAGAAGACAAAATGATAGCTTATTGACGAATAGTAAATGAAAAGAAAAACTTGTAACGGTAACAAATAATTATATTTAATAAGTGAATAATAAAAAATTTTAAACCATTTCAACTTGATGTAAACCGTCATTAAACGAATGTATTAGAATAGCACGGACGTCAAAGTACCACTTCAATTAAGCGAGGAATTACTATAGGCTTGTGTTTGAAGAAAGAATAAATGAAGTATCTGCCCGTCCAGTGTTTAAACTGTGCCAGCTGTGTTATCTCGATTACCAGATTAGAGAGAGTCAAATACAAAGCGATGTAAGGTGGATGCTGCAACAACATATTAACAATGTCCGTAACACGCCAAGACCTTCTAATTAAATTATTCCCGTTGCTTAATCCAAAGAGTACCTGTACACTAATAAGTGATTACATTGATGCGAAATCGTCTAATACCCCCTCGGCCGGTGGACAGCCCATCACCGTATCAGAATATGCAGGAAAGAGGTCTGCGCCGCGTCACTTGCATATTTATACCCCTGAAAACTGAGTAGTCTAAATACGGCAAATACGGCAATGACAAAATTATTCAATAGTGGTGACATCACCAGTATTTCTAGCTTGGATTGCGTGTATCATTTCGGATTACGTCTTTTTATTTAATACATTAACTCCGCGAAACTTGAATTAATTCAATCTCCCTCTTCTTACTCTACAACACCCAACTACAATTTCGACTACTGTACAAACATCGCATTTAACATGATGGCAGTACGTGATTATTCCGCTTACCGTACTCTGTATCTGCTGCGTATACACACTATTCAACTCTACTTCTCTTTCTTCTTTCTTCTTTCTTCTTTAGTATGGACCTTACGACGACTTTGAGTATGGGATGCAGCAGAACCCCAACAGAGGTTTCTCAGAGACTCTCCGGTGTTATTCAGTGGCCATGATGCCAGGAAATGAAAGACCGATTGCAAACTTTGGGGGAAAGAGTACGTCTCAAGTTTCGTAATTAGGAAATAGCGTGAAGTCGTGAACTATATGGTTTGGGTAATCTGTTAAAGTAATCTATAGGAAACGTAGTGGGCTAATGACTTAGTATACGATGTTGCAAACCCGAACATTTCCACTGTCCATGTTCATCATTTGTTAACTTTTTTCTACCACATATCCTTCGTCTCGGATTGATCTTTCGCTTGTCAGTCTTCCTTCCATCATCGGCACTTGCTAAACTGGGTAAGTAAAGTCTTGTCAACATTTCCAGTATAATAAGAATGCGTGTGTGAATTGCATAAATATTCTTTCACAATGATTGAAATGAAGCTCATGCTCATCTCGATGTCTTACCTTATTGATAAGTATGAATCTCTGTAATGAAAATATACTTAACATAAATATTAGGCCAGTCATTAGTGCAATTGCATAAACGAATATGATCATTAATTGAAATTTACTTCTTTGCACGTTTGTGCCTCATAGCGAGCCTGAACATAACCTATCCTATGCTGTTTGAATTAAATAATACGAATACACAAAGGCATTCGCACGCTGGAGTATTGGAATTCATAGCCGAAGAAGGAAGGGCTTACTTACCACATTGGGTATACATAAGAAATTTACTGTCGTCCTATGCTTACTTGATTGATTGCTAAATAATCTGACCCTTTATACTTATTTCGATTCTATCAAGATGATGCAAACACTATTACTGGAACCAGGTGATTTGCTAGAAATCAAGAATGCTGATTTACAATTAGGTAGTTATGTCAAAATACAGCCGCAAACGCCTGATTTTTTAGACATTAGTGATCCAAAGGCAGTGTAAGTACTCAAATTACGGACATCGCGCAAAGTTATCATGCAGTTTAACTAAATGATGCTATGCACTTTTAGGTTAGAGAACGCTTTGCGCAACTTTTCAACATTGACAAAAGGTGATGTTATTCAGATAAGCTATAATGAGAAGATATATGAGATTATGGTGCTTGAAGTTAGGTCAAAACCCGACCTGTATCAAGAACATCCGCCAAGTGATGGAGTATCCATTGTAGAGACAGATTTGGAGGTAAGTTGAAAAAAATCAATGTATAAACGTGTCGGAATGCGAGCTATCGCTAATTATATCTCTTGCATGATTATATAATGATTGCAGGTAGACTTTGCACCACCTCTTGGTTACGTAGAACCCAAACCACTGCCCAAAAGACAACAGACAATGGTATATATTTGAAACACAAATGTTTAACAAAGTGCAACTATGTCGTAATTCAGAAATCCAAGTGCATTCTTTAGCATCACCATGTTACATGACTGTACGACGATGTCAGAATAATATTAGTTGCCCCATCTCAAATGCATTACTATGCAACATCTTTTATGCTTATAATGTATTCGAATATTCTCGTTGATAGGCTGATAAAGTGAAGATAGAGTATACTCCAACGACCACTCGTACACTCTTCCACGGTAGTGGACAACGACTAAACGGCAAAGCTGTAAAAGAAGGTGAAGCGGATTCAACAGTAAAATCTACCGAGAAGAGTGTGCCTCCAGCTTTGAATCTACCATTTGGGAAGTTGTTCTTTGGATACAAACTTATTCCGTTGAGTGATGAGAAAATGACTAATGCAAATGAGGTAAGATGAAGCATGGAAATGTGATATTTAATTTATTTACGTTATAATTCCGTATTCACCGAATAATCCTACAACACGTAGGGAAATGACAAGTCATTCGCTGGATCGGGACAAACACTTCGGACGCGAAAAAGGAATCAAGATCGTACACCGTCCACATCATCAGCTATTGCTTCCTCTTCGTCCTCTTAAATGAACTATCCGTAATCTTGCTTATGGTGTATGTGAAGCCTGTATTGTTTAATTATATAGAAAGACGTTGAAAATTAATAAAAGTTGATAGTATTTCTACAATTGCGAAACCGAACTGATAATGACGTACAATGGACTGGGTTATCAATTTTTTACATGTTGTGTCTGATTTGTGAGCCTGGCAAGAAAAAAGCGAACAATCAATCCGATTATACATATGGCTGATTAGATGACTCGACGGGTTCAACTAAGATGGGTGGTCAATTACAGGAAAACATGATTGGAAAGTTGGGACATCCAACCGTATGTGTACCTAATAAAGACCACGAAAAACCAATTGATATTGAGCTTGAAAATTCAACGAAGACTCTTTAAAAAAGTCGACAGAGGTCAATGCTGATCACAAGAACCGTATTTGGAGGCGTACAGCGGCGCAGAATCAGGAAAAGACAAAATTAATGGTAATACTGCGCGCTGGGTATGGATGATAGATCTTTCGAGTGTCAATATCTTGGAAGTTGATACTTGAAGAGATATTCACAGAATCAATACGTCCATGCATTATGGGTCAAAAAAGAGTTCCAAATACCATTCAACAGAAAATGTTGCGTAGATTGGAGAGAAACAGTTCTAGCCGTGAACCCTGCCTGTCTTCTAGCGCTATAAGTATCTCTGACTCATTTGAGTTAATGTCTCGTTGGCGGATATTTTTTCATCATAATTTTTGGCAAAGTTGTTGATTCTTCTGACTTGTCCAATCATCATGCTTCAACAAACCGTATTTTCGTAGGCATTGGCTAGTCCAACTATCGGATCTGGAATGACTCAGCACACGATTAGACATTTGTGTACACAAAATACCAGATTGTTTATTCATACAAGAGGACGATCTCGCAAATTTAGAAATATCGTGGTTTGACTTTCTGAGCAGTTGAAAGAAACGATTTCCTAACAGTAATCAATTGACGGGTTATTAATCAAACCGTCCTTCGAAACACGGGAGAATTAGTGAATGCATCCAATACTAATAAGGAAAGCTGTTAATAGGATAGAAATATCATGAGACATGCAACACTTAGCTCACTTTGGATAACTAATTTAACGCAATAACGTCATGAGCTCGAGCCAACAGCGTCTAATTACAAGCGTTTGGGTGATTAAGTAGTTCGAAAATGAGAAAAGTGTCAGAGTCTGACCCCATTTGTATTTGTGTCCCGTTACCCATGGAGATCTTTCCTTTGTCATTGGACTTCGTCTTGTGTAGATCATAGAACATAGACATAAGCGTCCAAATGGATATCTGGTAATAGCCCTTGGTAAGTCAGGAAAAAGTAACACTTACGGAGCCCCTTCCCATCTTGTTTACTTAATATATACAGAGAGGTAAACATAGCATCATTGCAGTGACTCCACATTAACCAGAATAAATACCAGTAATAACCTCTTCTTGTTAGTAAGGTGTCAACGACAGTGATTGCTGCCGACCTAGTTAAATACCCTTCGCTATTCGTTATGACAGCTGAGCTAAACACACGCAATATCCGATTTTGGTATTTGTACTACTGACTCTTGTACTTGAAGCACGGTTACACTGCCTAAATTAGCAAAAAATCAAAAAGAACCATGGTAATACTGCAGTTGTCAAATAACAGTCTATTAATAAAACGATTCGCACTGCCACCCACGTTTGCTCAATTATCACGATGAAAGTACTTGTCTGCGGAGGAGCAGGATATATCGGCTCTCATTTGGTCCGAGAATTGGTAGCTACTCCAGGATATGAAGTCGTCATCCTGGATAACTTGTCAATGGGTCATATCGAGTGTGTACCGGAAGGTATAGCCTTCGAACAAGCTGACATTAGAGACAAAGAAGCACTTGACCGAGTCTTTTCCAAGCATACACCAGAAGCCGTTATGCATTTTTGTGCTTCGGCATCAGTGGGAGAGAGTATGATCGATCCACTGCTCTATTATGAGAATAATGTGGTGGGCACTGTGTTTTTGTTACAGGCTATGAACAAATACAATGTCAAATATTTTATCTTCTCATCAACTGCTGCTCTCTTTGGCACGCCTGAAGTTATTCCCATTGCAGATGATGCTCCTACTAAGCCGATTAATCCATACGGAGATACCAAGTTGACAGTTGAAGGCATTCTAAAGTGGTGTGAAACGGCATACGGAACTAAATATGTGTGCCTTCGATATTTCAATGCATGTGGAGCACACGCAAGTGGCGATATCGGAGAGGACCATAACCCTGAAACTCATCTGATTCCTCTTGTCCTTCAAGTTGCTCTTGGCCGTCGTCCTGCCATCAAGATATTCGGAGATGACTACAAAACAAAGGACGGTACCTGTGTTAGAGATTATGTTCATGTCACTGATCTTGCGTCGGCTCATATCAAAGCTCTTGAATATTTGGTGAGGGAAAACAAGTCTAATCAATTTAACCTTGGCAGCGGTGAAGGATATTCTGTGAAGGAGGTGATTGAAGCGGCAAGGGAAGTTACAGGGCACCCTATTCCGGCTGTGATCGAGAGTCGCCGTCCGGGGGATCCTGATGTGTTAATTGCATCATCCGAAAGAGCAGAGAAAATTCTCGGATGGGAGAAGCGGTATAACACTGTAAAGGAAATAGTCGCCACGGCCTGGAAGTATCATCAAAAACATCCCAGCGGATTTGTCAGCAAAAAGTAAAGACAGCGAGTTACGACTTGGAGTTCATTGATAGATTGCGAAAAATAATTATTGAAGTGTGCATGAAAAGAAAAGAGTAGCTAGAAAGAAAAACATGAAATCATATACTAATCTAGATTGATGGTGTGTTATATATAATAAATGGAATATTAATACGAATTTTGGCGATGACAATTATTCATGTGGACACATATGATAGTTTTTTTCTTGCCTTTCTGGATTTTCATAGTCAGATATTATATTAGGTACTTTATTCGGTTAATTAACAACTACGATTAATTTTTGATAAGCAAATAAATGATAAATGTTTTTATGATATTTATAATATGATAATAATATAACTATTCCTATGCAATAATGAATTATTAATACTAATATACTTTTAACCTCGATTCATTGAAACCCATTCAACTAATGTTTGTATTCATAAACTACTCTACTTTCATTAACCCCAATGAACATTTTCATTTCTATATTTTACTGTCTATAATAGCCAATTGTCCGTCTACTGTACATGATTTGCGTTCAACAATGTAGTATATGTGTTTGTACAATTATATTGTATCAGAGATTTTGGAATAACTATATCACGTGATAGACTCACTTGGTCACATTGAATGTTGCAATGGGTGACTTTACTGAGACTGAATAAGTAAAGTTCCATGCATCGTTTTGTCGATGAGAACTAGTTACATATGTATCTCGTGGGCAGATATCCACTTGTTTCCATATTCAAAGAAACAAAAATGTTCTCTTAGATCTACGTTATGTCAAAAGAGCTCAATTTTAATAAAAGTCTAGCTATACAGGGCTGAGACTTGATGATCAGGGGATAATGATCAAAGGGGAAAGAATTGAACAAGGATGGATAAATAACTGATTAGGAACTTATGTCAAATATATGACATAATTTCCATAAGAATTGTTGGGGGGAAAAATAAATAATACAATGCCATTAAATACGCCAAAAGACAGCTATATTGCTCATTTGTTAGGCCATCTGTCAAAGACCACAAAATGACCCTGAGCTACGGCATTGAAGCAAAACGAAGGAGGTGGAAGAAAGGTGTTGTATAAAGGGGAAGGGGATAAAAAGAAAAGGGATACAAAAATTGATGGGTCTCAATACAAAACGCGAAAGTACAGGTTTGGTTCCCAACAAAATCAAAAAAGGATTAATCGAAATGAGATATCCAAAAAAAGGCCAATGAAAAGAAAAAAACAAATTCGAGGAATCAGACAAGAGAACAATCCAGGAGAAGAGCGATCCAAGATTTATCCATATGGCGGGAAAGAGATTTCATTTAATACGAATTTGTAATAAATGGATGCTAAAAAAAATAAAATCAACAAGTATAAGTAATAGTTTATAAGATTTATAACATCGATTACTGTAAATAGTGTTGTTTAATGCAAACCTCAAGAAGTTCCTCGGCTGACAATCTGTTCTCGCTATCCTTTGCAAAGCATCGTTCCAAGAAATCGACAGCTTCCCAACCAAATTCGGCCTTCTTGCGCATACGTTCAAAACCATATGGCTTCTCACCTTTGCGTAATCGGAGCATAATCTCATCATCTCGAATACGGCCCCACGCGGCTTTGCCAGTCAATAATTCCAAAATGCAAACACCCAAAGACCAGATGTCGACTTTTGTATCGTATGGACGATCGGGGTTGACAAGAACAACATCGGGAGCCATATACGGAATTGTACCAACCATTCCAGTCGTTGATGTAGGCGTCAGAGAAGAAATACCAAAGTCAGCTAATAAAAGAAAGTTTGCCGAATTAATATATGTATAATTCAATAACATGGAAAGAGAATCTGATAGATGACTTGTACTTGTCACACTCACCAAGTTTAATCTCGTTGTTAGCACCGCTCAAGATATTGGAGAGTTTAATATCACGATGAATAATTCCATGAGCATGTAAATGTGTCAATGCTTTCAAAAGCTGCACGGATAAAAAAAAAGGTTAATAACTATTATTACTTGCCACAATCCCATGTCTCAAATAACGTAATATAACTGTCATATTCTTACCTCTCCAGCAATACGTCCGACTTCTCGTTGAGAAACTTTGCCAGCCTTGCTAGTAACATCACCGCGAACACATTTCTCCATTACAAGCCATACTTCACGTGTCTTCCCATCCCATTTCAAGAAACTCTCTTTAAAATCAACAATGTTTTCATGCTTGAGATTTTTCAGGACGTAAATTTCATTGAAAATGAATTCGAGAGAGTATGTCAATGGGACTATTTTAATGGCACGTTCTTCACTATTATCAGAACCTAGTTGACGAGCTGAATAGACTTTGGCGGAAGAACCTTCGTCCATCATTTTCTTGACATCGTAACGTTTCAATGGGTTTTCACGGGAACATGTTTCACTGAGTAACCGAATAAAATGTTGCAGTTGAGTTAATGTATCTTTGGAAGCTGGTGGCGGTGGTGGTGAAGGAATTGGACTAGCAGTTGATTTGTTGGATTGACTGGATTCATGAGCAGGAGATCGAGCACGACTAGACCTGCCATTAGATGGAGATGATGACCGAGAAGACGACGTAGTTGACTGAGATGATAACCGAGAATTTGAACCATGACGGAGAGAAGCAGTTGAATTGTTAGCAGATGATTGAGAGGTGACCGAAGTTTGGGAAGTTTGTTTGGTTAGAGAAATGCCGAATTCAGATGAAGATGCCGAGCGAGAAGATGTGACTGAGTTGGGATAAGAATTTTTGTGACCGTTTGAACCAGATGAACGTTTTACCAAACCGTTTGAGTTAGCGTTGTTTTTAGAAAAGTTGTCGTTATCGTCGTATCCGGAGGAAACAACCGATACATGTGAGTTAGTGACCGCAGATTCCGATGGGTTAGAGCGAGAGTTAGCCGAAGTATAACTGTAAGAAGAACCAGTAGAGAAATTACGTTGAGATGTGACCGAGTTGAGAGATTTTCCAGAGTTTGCTGAAACAGATGAGTTTGAAGTGACCGATGAGCCGAATAAATCACGTTGAGAGGCAGCCAATGAAGAATCTGATGATGATTCAGAAGAAAAAGATTCACGATGTTCGGTTGTTGATTTAATATAACTTTGACCGGATGAGATAGAAGTGACCTTTGATGCCGACAAATTAGATTGAGAAGTAGCCGATAGAGATGAGACCGCAATGTTGTTTTGAAGAGATGAGTTGGGTGTGACCATATTTGAGTTATTTGAAGTAGTTGATTGTCCGTTGTTTTGAAGCATACTGTAGTTTGTGTTTTTAACCGTTTTACTGTTACCGTTTTCATGAGTACTTCCAATTCCAGAATCAGAAGAACTTGTAGAATTAGCACGAGGTCGACGTAGGCGACGTTGAGGTTTTGTGACCGGAGTTGAGGTAGTAGCAACGTTAGAAGTTTTGTTAGAAATGTGACCAACCGAGACATTAGAGATAGGTGTGACCAAAGTATTCGATGTGGGATTTGCAATTGGAGATTTAATCATGTAAGGAAAAGCTTGTTTTGGTTTAGCGTTAATTGCTCGGAGAGCTTCAACGTCGACTTCATCGTCTTCGTCGTCGTCCTCTTCCTCACAAATAGCATCCAGATCAATTTTAGCAGAAACATTAGATTTCCATTTTTTGATATCATCCGCAAGAGAAGAAGATTGATCCGAGTTGAGAAAATAAGTTGACTTTACATCCTTGATTTCAGGTTGAGTATTACCGGCAGAAGGACTTGAATCACTATCAGAATCACTTTCACTGCGAGAGGAAACTGAAGACAAAGTGTCGGAAGAAGAAAAGTCTTGTTCATCAGAAACTTCACCCTCAAAGATCTTTTCCTCGTCGCTTTCGTCAGATTCCTCCATGACACTGTTCAATGGACGCTCACGTTTAGTATTAGCCAAGGCCTGGCGAGTGTATTCAAATTCTGATTGTTTGCTAAACATCTCAGAACCAAAACCGCCTGGATGACGCGCGGCATTTGATGAGGACTCGTTCGTTTCGGGCATGACTCTGCGTGGTTGTACGGCAGTTGAAACGTGATGAGAAGTGACCGGAGCAGGAGCAAGTCTTGACGGATTAACTGAAGATTTGATCTGAGTAGTAGCCGGTAGAGGAGTTGCAACTGGAGCCGCCGGGGCAGCAGTAGTAGGACGTGATGCAATCAATGAAGAGATGACGGAAGATTGTTGAACCGTGGAAGTAGTAGTAGAAATGGGAGCGGGAGTTGGTGACATTGAATTGACAGGAGCAGTAGTAGCGGCAGACGTGGTCGCATTGGCGGTTCGTTTTGAGGCCTGAGGTACAACAGCGGCTACTGATTTGTCACCCTTGACTCTTTGAACATTTTTAGCAATCTGAGAGAGTGTTGTGGGAATATCTTGGTTTTGCATGCGCGATTCTGCTTCTTCAAGCTTACTCTTTAGCGATTCATTTTCATCAAACAATTCCCTATTCCTAGCCTCGACTTGATAGATGCGCTCTCTTAGAGCCTCCACGACATCTGCATAGTCCTCGAGCTGACTATCCTTCTCACGCAACAGCTCATCGCGCTCATCCAGACGCTTCTTGAGATGCTTGTTAACACGCATTTGAGCTTCGAGCGAATTGGTGTTAAAATCGTGGGAGATCTTATGAGATGATAATCCCGAAGGTGAGCTGGGAGGTGAGGTAGGGCGACGGATCGTGGAAGGCCGCTTTGACGATTGAACAGTCGTAGTTGATGGGGGCGAGCTCTTCTTGAGAATGCCAACTAAATTGTCTGATTGAGGACTGACAGATCTTTGGCGATAAGAACTTGAACGAACGGACAATGATGACTGTCCGTGAGGCGTAATTGAGCGAGTGGATGATCCACCTGATGAACGCTTGAGTGTTGGTTGTGGGGATACAGGCGGTGAATCGTCTTTTTGTTTTCCATAGTTTGAGACTGCCTGTCTGTTGCGCTTGATAAAATCAGTGGACTTGTTTCCGTGCGGCGTTGATGGTCTTCGCACAGTCTGTGAGAGAAGTAAAAATTGTACGTGAGATGTTTGATGCAAATGAAGGGATAAAAAAATATTGTTCGATGTGTTTACCTTTTTTGATTTAGCGGGAAGAGGATCGGGAAATGTCTCCTGTATTAGAGCCTTTGGGAAAAGTAAAAAAAAAAAAAAAAAGACTATTTAGCACCAAATCTTCATTCAATTAAATCACATGATCACACGTGGTTATTACCTCGTAATGATTTGCGAATTTATTATACATGGTTTGCTGGGGTGCGCCCTAGGGGAAGAAATGCATAAATTAAAGATTAGCATGTGGGAAATTAAAACAATTAGGCGAGTGTAAGGGATGGGATAAAAGAATGTATGCAACATTGCACTGTCAATTGATGAATTACTTGCAAAATGCATCGAGGTCATAGCTAGTCTATCACTTGTTCTATTTACTATTGTACTTGTGGAATAATAACATCGCATCAAATGTTGGGGTTGTTTACACTCTTGTGCCAACTAAACCAATCTCCATGTGTTGTCTAAGCTAGACAAAAAAAAATTTTTTTTTTGCAATAATTCATATTTTGTCCTTTGTTCCTTGCATAATCATCAACATCATGCCTCTAATTGTGTTGATACGCATGTGCTAACAATCTGCTCTCTGTTTGTTATTCGTCGTATGAAATGACTCGAGTGTAACCTTTGGGGCATGATTGCGGCAGTGAATTGTGGCAACAGTGCAGCAAATGAATACGCCCATTGGTATAAAATTAACTCTTTTCTCATAGAACGCTTTGTCCTCAATCATGTCTAAGATGTCTATTAATACGGTATATTATAAAGTAAATGATTGACAGGATAAGTATTCATATTTACCGTTCGACCGTTAGCCAATTTAAGACCAAAACTCGCATTTGAGGTGTGGTTTTCCTTGGTTTTCCGGTGACCAGAACGCACGGCTGTTGGTAATGGAGCCGGCATGATATGTTCTGTTGGTGGGAGGTCGGAGGGGGGTAGAGCGAGTTAGTTAAGTGTATGTATGCGTATGAAGTGTGTGAGTTGTAATGGGAGTATGGGAGTATGGGTATATGGGTATATGGGTGATATGTTATATAGTTATATAGCCGTATGAGAGTGTGTGTAGGTTGTATATATGTATGTGTGTGTGTGTGTGTCTGTCTGCGTGTGTGGATATGTTATAAAGTAATGTCTATTATTATGCTTGAAAATATTATATTATATGCAAATTATATGTGTAAAGTGCTATTAGATTAGGATGTATGATTTGGAAAAGTGCGTGTGTGGAAGATGCTTAAATTTCTTGCTATGTTTCTAACATAATTTTTCTCTCTCTTTAGCGTCGGGTTGATTTGCTACAAACAGGCTTATATATATATATCAATGATGTTTGATTTTGTGTTGCCCTCCTATTTATGACTATCAAATAAGTCGGGATGATTGTGTGTGTATGTGTGTTATTAATTACTAATCTTATCACCTATATACACTGTAATATCAAAAACAATAAATATTTCTGATTAACGTACAAGAGACCAACGGGGAGTACTACTTGCTATACAGCGTTGTGTCTCCTCTCTCTCTGCAAGTTGTATCTATCTACCACTTGTCTTCTCGTTAATACGCTTGTCTCGGTTGGTGACAGGAAGAGTGTCGCCAGGACGGGTAGAGTTGGAAGGGGGATACGAGGGGGGGGGGGAGCGTGGGTAGGGCTGGGGGTTTATATATTACAAGAATGGTGGGTGGCTTACCTTGTAGAAGAGTGGAGTTGACTTTTATCAATCTCTCTCTAATTTTGTTCGTTGAGTTGTTGGTTGGTGATGTTGGTTGCTTACCACAACAAGAATAATAAATAGATAATTAAATATGAAGGTAGCTTTAATTCTAGTGGTGATTTTTTTAATGTAGATGTCGTTATTTTCTTGTATCTGATGTCGCGAGTTGTCGAAAAGATTGGGTTGGGGGTTATATATATTCTATATTATAGTATAGAATCTATTTATATGGGTATTATAATGTATTAATTCTGTATATATTATGCATTGTATATTTTTACTTTACAATTTATTTATACGTCAAAAATACTAGATCTTGTCACTTAACTAGAATATCACATTATGTTGATATTATTTTAATATAATATATATTTACGGTTTTAAGGAGATTTTGACGTGGTAGTACAGACTTATACCCAATCAAACAATATAGTAAAACTACGTATACGGTCGAAATACAATGATTGTTATGTGTGAGTATGTATATATATTTAATGTAATGTAATGTAATGTAAATTACAATTATATTCTTCAAGAGAGTGAATGTTGTCTCATATACAATATAATATAAATATATAATACTCACAATATTAAAAAATATATTGCTTATCTTTCGAACTTTGAACAATGCCCCATATCACTTATATATATATATATTAAAATAGTCGTACTCCGACGACCAATGAAAATTCTCCCTCGTATTCTGGCAAACCAATGTCGTTATCGACATATGGGACGCTCGTTATCATCGTCGTTCATATTAACTTTGGTTCTCCCTCCATTTCTTAATATCAATTGCTTAACTAATTCAAGCGTGGCTTTTAACTATTCTGTTATTCAGCATACTCACTTAGTTGCTTATGACAGCTGGGTTGCACAACCTGCATTCTTTCATCCTTTATTCCAATCACAGCTCGGTGTTCGCTTACTTATACAGTTACATCATTAATATCGAAAAATTAGGAAATTTTCAAGGGCAATCTTGTTCAATAAATGAAACCTAACCGAGTAATTGCGGGCAATATAAATAAAAAGTAGTAATTAAAGTGAATGACATCATATGAATATTTCAGCACGAGGCAATGGCTGTTATCATAACTTGCCTGTTACCAATACTGGACATATATATAAGCACACAACTCCACCAAATATCAGGAGTGATGTCAAACCAAAGCGCACGCATACATACACTGAATTGACGTTTAAAATACAAGCCGTTTTTTTATCCTGAGATATTATTAATTGTCGTTAACGCAGTCGACCCAAACATATACGGTAACTAATTCAACTATTCTAAAGAGGAGATGAGCTACGATTACGATAAACAAGTACGCAAGGCAGAATGAGTAGATGAACGGATACGCAAACAGTTCCGATGGACAAATGACAGATGACAGATGACAGACAGATAATGATAAACAGCAAACAATCGTATGTATAATATTTATTAAACAGATTATTGTAAACCATTACAATTATTTATTTGGTATTATTCAACAACTTTACGTTGGATACACTACTTAATTTTAACATGTCTTATATTTGACGATCATCTCTCTTGTGTTTTCGCAAACGAGGCGAAGCAAATTCGATCATTGCATAAAACCCGGCATCTCATTTGTCGATGAATACGAGTCATGAACAAAATGGAAAAATTAAAAACTTTAAAACCGGATTTTTTTGTGTGAGAAAAGAGAAAACGGTATCTCGTTACTATGCATGCACTAGCATGCCGTTGCAATACTCAATATTAGTCGATGAAGAGATAGCTGTATGCATTGATAAGTCTCACTGATAAGTGCAAAGCAGTATGGGCAACGTATGAAACTCATCCACTATTTTAGTCTACTACTTTGTACTGTAGTAATGCCACAAAGTCCACTGTTGCGTTGTTGTCACCCCCTCACCTCATTAGCCAAAAACAAGTTTGGAAGAATGAACGTTTTAAGTTAAAACTATTGTGTATTGCTGATAATGATGCACCTGTCAAAAGTGTGAGAAGCACAACATACGGAGAAGAATGGATGAAATTTGTCCGAATGAGTATTGAATGCTTGATTTGTATGTTTCTTTATACTTAAATGTCCAAGTCGTTTACCTTTCTTTCTAATGAAAGCAAATGAGGACGAAACATGCATGGTTGAGCCTAGTTAAACTTTACTTTACGGCTGGTAAAAATGCCTTTTTCTGTTAAAGCGAAACTATTTACTTGTTTAATATGTACACATGATATCATCAGTGTCGTACATATTGTTCTTAATACGGAAATTTATGGCTGATATTTAATACATATGCATCGTATAAGTAATGTAAACAAACACCCATGAGGCAGATAAACAATGTGTACGTTAGAGCTGGGCAGAGGCTATGAAAACATGAATGTCAAAAATTCCCAAAATTATCAATAATCAGGATTATGGAAATAATGGAAAGAATAGCTATCAAGTAATGGGGGAAGGGGGGTTGATACATTGACTCAACGCCCAATAACGTTCTTACTATTGTGACGAATGTCAGCCCTTGTTCTACTGTAGATTTTTTTTAGCCCTCTCTTCCACACATACGTTCGTCACTACGCAGTTTTTGTTCACTGTTCATGGTTCTTTTCCGAACTTCCGAAAGTCTCTTTTGGTTGGCCGTTGACCATTCAGCCGGCTAGGGCGTTGTGTGATATAGCGTGGCACAGTGATGGGGCCAACGGAGATGTTGCGTCAGTCCGATTGTTGGTCACTGCATACGTTTGATGATCTATAAATAACCGTGATAACCATAATTGGTGATAGAAAATAGACAGGTATAGCTGTGGATAATAAGAGATATGTATGCATTACCTTACATATTTTTTTTCATTGCCCAGTTCGAATTACTGCACCAATTATCAATACTGCGCAAGTATTCCCGCTACGGTTAGCCATGTGTAAATTTAACCTCGTACAGTTTACACTGATTGGTTGTCATAATTTATCAACAATATTATCTAACATCACCTCTACGTTATAACAGTTAGCATCAGTAAAGTTGACGTTATTAACCACGGTTGGCATTATCATATTATTGTCACATCTAGCATTATCACCATTTCGCATCGCATCACAACTAACATTATCACATTAGCAATACCATTTCGTCAACCTCCCCAAATAACCATTATCTGGGTCTACCGATAAACGTATTGGTTTAGTACCATTTACATTACCGAATAAGAAGTTTGGGCACTTGTACTCCCCGAGTCATTTATAAAATAGTATAAACATGGCTATAAGCTAAACTGAAAAAATTATGCAATGTACCTATGTTTCCTCCATTTATACATATACGACTTATGTATGCTCTAATCATTTTCACCCACGTTGTCTAAATGACAACTCAGTGATGCATAGCTAGACCCTTTTATGTTATAGTAACACAAAGTAACCGACACAAGCATGATACATAAAATATGGAACAGAAAGGTGAAAATGTATGTGTGAGAATGTAATAATAATTAAACAATCGAATGTTGTCTTTGTAAAAAGGTGATAAAGGAATTGCTTGATTGATTGAAGAAGGGAAAAGGAAAAAAAAAAGGGAGAAGAGGGGAAAGGGAGGACGTTTGAAAAGACAAAGATGGTACTGTATTAATAGTAATATGGTAGGGCTTTTAATCGTATATAAGCAATACGTTACATTTGCCCCCATCGACTGCTGCTTGACAGTGAAATCGTTATCTTCATATCCATCTGGTTACAAGTAATAAACTTGTTTTATAATCTTGTGCAGAAAAATGATAGGCATTGTACATGTGCGATGACCGTCTATGAGGAATGGAATGTCGAAATCACGCTGAAATCACAGATCGTCTCTTATCCTACCTGCATATTCGAACGAGGCTGAAGCAGCGGTTTATACATGAGAGATATCGAATGGTAGAGATTGGTGGAAATATACTAAATACTATATAGTAATAGTTAATTAATAAATGTGATACACATGTTAATAATTCACTTAACAATGATTATTAATTTATTTTTGTTATTATTGTCGTTATTGTTAATATTATTATGGTATATATTCATTGTTATATCGTCCATATTGTATCACTATCACAATGTATCGAGCCTATCAAATTCTATCAAAAACCATATCGCTATATTACCCATTATCCATCATCATCATTATCCATCATCCATCGTTGATCTAAACCCTTTT